GAAAAGAGAGCAACGTGTATACACTGCAAAAAAAAGACTAACGATAGTAAAAAGAAGTATAGCTTTATAGTTGTCATTACTAACTTTTTTAATTAGCTTCTTTCAAAGTAATTGTACACGACTCATTGGCTTTCCAGGAAAAAAGTATCTAACCTTTTGTTGTTGTAACTAACCCTTTTACTTTATGTAGTGTCAAAGACGACTTTCAGAGCAAATGTAAACGCTTCATTGGCTTTATGGGTAACATCATATTAAACTTTGGGGCTCTCATTACTTTTTTTTTTTTCTTTTAAAAGCATAGTTTTATTTTCTTTATTGCTTGGTATAAAGATATATTTAGTCTAAAGTGGCTCTTTACTAAGGTTTATTATAGATTCTTCCTTTAACAATCTAATTGGTAATGAAGCTCCCATCCTTCTGCATCACTAAAAGGCTGTGCTCTGATTCCTTCAGGTAAAGTTCGGTGTTTTACTTTCTTTTACCTTTGACGTTGTCTTTGTTATTACAATACTTTTTCCTCTTCTTTTCTTTGTACCCTCGGAGTCATGATGCTTTCCATGGAATTCCATCTGCCTCTCAATTCTTTTTTACTTTCAAGATTTCTTCCTTTTATTACAAAAATAACTTTGTAGAATAACCTTTGCTATTATAAACAAATAAAATACATGTAATTCATAGATTCAAATATAATTCCTGCCTATTTCTACGTATCATTTGAGTCATCCGGAATGACCCTGTATGTGTAATAACCGTATATGCCACCTTGATACCATGTATGATTGGTTCAGAAAACCGTAAATATTTCCGTGAGTTCTTCCAAAAAGCCGTGGACGATCTACATAAAAATGTCCATATTCACGGTTCCTTGCGCCATAGTGTAATTCAATTATTGTCATTTACTTGAAACGAAGCCAGCAGGGTTCTAAACATAAATAAGAGCTAGTAAACGACATAAAGAGACAGAAACAATCTTGTTTAAGCAGTTATACTGTCTACAAGAAATAAAATAATTGATGTTTTATTAATTCTAATTGTAAACGTGCAGATTCCAAATACTTCATTTGAAATGTTAAGAAGAGAATGAGAAAGAAAGAGAAAAAGAAGAGAAGGGATACCCTTGTTTATATAGAATTCTATGGAACTTTATTACTAAAAATAAAAATAGAACAGTATGTAGGATTTCTACGGTTTTTGACAAAAAACTGTAAATTTCAAATTTACGGTTAATAAGTCATTACCGTAGAAGTGGAAGGTGCTAGGCCATGACCATCAGGATTATTCCTAGTTATTATCACCATACGCATCAGAGTTACCGTCTTCATTTTCATTCTATACATTAAAGAAAAAACAATTAATAACATTTCAAGTGTTTTTTTTAAAAATAAGTATTACTACCTCATCATAATTCTTTTTAGTAGCTTGCTTTCTGGTTCTACATCTATCCGATAGTAATCCCTTAGCAGCCCACAATCTGATGCATCTGTAGATGTTCCAGCCCTTGTCCTTGGCAAGTTGCTCTAGCCTCATGGTATAGTATGTCCTTTGATCGTCAGACAGATCACTCCAATTCAGCTTACCGTAGAAGCCATCATTTTTCATTTCAATATATACATCCCTTGCAAGCTGTTGTAACTGTAAAATGGTCTTTTTTCTGAACTTCTCATCAAGGAGCTGTTGTTGTTCTTCAAAATATAATCTATCTATTAATGCTGCTAGTCTATCGTTGAATGATACTTTTTTTTTACTGTATCGCTGCTTCTTCTGGTTCTTGTATCTGTTGTAGGAAGTCTATTTCTAGCAGTTATAGCTACTTCTTTACTGCTTTTAATATCTCTTTGTCCAAGTATGTTTCTGTTAGAAATCAAAATTCTCACTCTTTCTTCTAATGACAGCTGCTGATTATTCACTATAAAGCAATGACAATATTCTAATTGGTATACAAGCAACCAAGTAACTGTCTTTTTTTTACGGTAAACTTACTGTTTGCAGTGTTTGAAGAAGAGGAGTTTGGTAGAGACATTGTTGTTCATTGCTTCTTGAATTGCCCTAGTCTCATTTGTAAGGGCATTAACACTGTTTTGTAACTGCGTAACAGTGGAAGCCAGGCGCATAACGTTTGCCATAATTGTGTTGATGTTTTCTTCCATTTTGCTAGTGTTGCTAGTGTTGTTGTTGTTTATTTGAAATTGTAATTTAACGATGTAAATAATTCACGGTTTTTGTGAACTTTGAATTTTTTGAATATGTTGGAAAGAAAAGATGTTCAAAGTCCTATTTCCTGTCTTCTTTCCAAAAAGAAATTATTTTTCACCAAAAAAAAATGATGAGGACAGTAACAATTAAGCAACAGCAGCAAATGACGAAGGAGATTGAAGAACAGTTGGGAAATGGAAGGTTCAATTACTTGAGAGTGGTTTATCCAAAGGACAGCAATATTCACACACAAGAGAGAATATTAGAAAATAGTTTTATATCTCACAAGATAGACGGACGCTTTTTTTCCCTTTTTCTTCCTACAAATAAATCAGGTAAAGCAAGAATCAATTCAAAAGGTGAGATGAAAGTATGAAGCCAAGTACAGAACTGGAAATAGCGTTGGTTATATCAACAAGCAATGAACAACAGCAAAGAGTGATGTTTTAGCTTGAAATGTATGGAAAATCAAAAAAGAAAAGAAAGATGAAGGAAATTATGCGAATGACTGAATTAACACAATTGAGGTATGATTCTTTATCTGTTGGAAGCGTATTTACTGTTCAACCTTTTACTAATAAGGTTGTATTAGCTTATGTTAGGGCATGGAAGTTGTTGCTGAAAGTAGAAAGAAATGTTTATGTATGAATTAAAGGCATGGATTGGATTGTTGGAAAAGGAATACTGTAAATCTTTAAGGTAAGAGCTACTAGTGAGTGAATAAAAGAAAAAAAGAGTGAGATATTGTTTAAACTACGTATGCTTGGGACTACAACAGATGTAACTATTGGAATTACAAAAAGATGTAAATGAATAGAAAATGTTGTCACAAGGATAGATTCAATAAACATATCTACTATAACACACAACACATAACACACTTATAACACACTTATAACACATCACTCTAATATACATAACACACTTAACACACTTATATATATAACACACTTAACACACTTAACACATAACACACTTATATAACACATAACACATCACTCTATAACACACTTATAAGACACTTATATAACACATAACACATAACACACTTATAACACATAACACATAACACACTTATATGTACTGGAATTAGAAAAAAAAATATGCAACATCACATGATTTGACTGCCTTTTTATAATGCTTTTTTTTTTCCGAATCGAACATCGAACCTGCGCGACAAGCACTTGGTTCCTGAAAGTGCATGCATGAGCTTTCTTTCCTTTCTTTTCGAATATAAACATTTCCCCTTTTCTCATCGCATTAAGCGTTTCTTTTCTTTACTCATCGTATAAACATTTTGAACTAATTTGGTATGAATAATGTTTCTTTTGATTCGAATATGTCTGCTAACATTGTCGCTCATTAGAACAATGGAAAACAATACTTCTAGAACAACTATATGCTCCTCCTGTGTTGCGACATTGCCAGCAGATTCACGCTATTGCAGCTGCCAAGCGTGTAGAGAAAGAGTTGCAGCATCACGCCGCAGACGTCGAGCTGAACAAGAAGAGCAGGAAGGCAGCCCAGTAAGACGTAGGGGAAGACCTAGAGTAGAACCTTCTCAGACTATTCCTACTGCCTACATCTCGCAGCTTTCTCGCCTTCGTCCTTTGGACCTTGGACGTATGGACAAGGAATGCTCACACTGCCACGCCTTGCGCTGGATCGATGAAAGGCAAGAGACATCTTCAATGAGAAATCCTAGCTGGGAGTCATGTTGCAAGCAAGGACCAGTCCAGTTGCAACTATTACCTGATCCACCTGAGTACTTGAAGGACTTGCTCGAACGTACGGACACTCAAGGCAGTCACTTTAAGGACAACCTTCGCCAGTACAACGCTGCCTTTGCCTTTACTTCGTTGGGCTGCGATATTGTTTCGCCTGAGGATCGTGCCAGCAACAGCAGCAGCAACAGCAACAACAATAACAATAGAGGTGGATTAAACGCCTTTCAGATCCATGGCGCACTTTGCCACCGTCAAGGCCCCTTGACTCCAGTTGAAGGCAGTGAGCCTTCCTATGCCCAGCTGTATATATTTGATCCTTCCTATGCCGCTGAAAGAAGACAAGCACGAAACAGCAACCTTGATCCTGAGATCATTAGGGAGCTTTCGGTCATGCTTGCCCAATGTAACCCCTTTGCGCGTATATATCGCCATGCACACGAGATATTGAGCAACCATGAGAGCAGCAACACTGTCAGTGATGGTAATGATCAAAGAGAAGTCAGTGCGCCATACATCATTATCAGCCCATCAATGAGAATGCGTTTGATTGAAGGAGGTGATAGGCGTATTCAGAATTTTCCAACAATGGAAGAGGTTGCTGCTGTTATCCCTATTGAGTATAGTGATAGAAGTTTTCGTGATATTGTTCTTACCTTGAGAAGCAATAGCGGTCTTCGTCAAAACACTGGATTTGAGCAACACTTTCAGCGTATCAGCCAGGCGCATGCTGCATACATGCCAACACACTATGTGCTTTTATTTCCTCATGGAACATATGGATGGCATTGGGGCCTGCAACTTTCATTGCCAACTGTCAACATTAGTATTCCTTCTACTACTACTACTACTACTACTACTACCGTCGAAGATCATCTTCTTCCTATACGAGAAAGGGACAGAGTACCTCAACGCGCATACTATAGATTTAGATTGCATTTGAGAGGAGAGCATGAATTCCCTGCTATCTTTTATGCTAAAAAGCTTTTTCAGCAGTTCCTGGTAGATGCGTGGGCCATCTGTGATCAGAACAAGTTAGACTGGATTCGTCACAACCAAGATAGGCTTCGGACTGATGTTTATAACGGATTAGCAGATGCTATTGCTGAAGGCGACCAAGTTAATGCTGCTAATTTGGGACGTCGATTTATTTTACCAAGTAGCTTCCATGGCGGCCCTCGATTCATGGCCCAATTGTATTATGATTCTATGGCCATCGTCCGTCATTTTGGGAAGCCATCTTTGTTTATCACCTTTACGG